GAAGACGAACAAGACGTTCTCCAAATTTGCGCTATTGCGGAGGAACGAAAACATGCTGGTCATCCCATCCCAAGAGTCGTACTCAACGTGGCCCACCGGAAATCTCTGTCCGACCGATGCTTCAGAAAGGCAGTTGAAAGACTAGAGGAGGAAGTCGAAGAGGTCGAGTTTGACTACACTGGAGCTACTTTCATGACCATGCCGGCACGTTGTACAGCACGCTTGCATGCTTGCTGGGAGCCCTGGCCTGAGCGTTTGGGGCAGCGTCGAAGGGATGGGTATGAATACGGGCTTATCAATTAGGCATCCGGAATGTTGGTAAGCTGAATTTAGAATGCTTCCATCTGCCTGATTTGACTGCTGATGCTTTTCCGCAAAGAGATTTCGCGATGCAGTGTAGAAATTGATGGAGGTCAAGTTGGCGATTTCTGCATGTAAATAGCGTTCCAGTAATGCGCACATGAAGTTACCCCTCCGTGGCCAGAACACAAGACAATTGCTAAAATATAAAATGGATGACAGTCAGCCGGTTAATGACGCCCTCACCTCATTGCTTTTCGTCGCACGAAGTCGTGTATGTAGTATGTAGCAAGACATGATTACGCACGTGAGCGACTTCACGATATTTGTCAGATACGTGTATCTTTCCTTTTACTCGAGTCCCTCGCATGAATGGAGCTGCAGCATACCCGACAGCTGCTTGTCCAATCACTTGTATCAACAGGCACTGTCAACGTGCTTGGGAAATACCGACAAGACGTCGATGTACCAATATCACCGGAGATACATCAAACGAGCATCTTGGTGTGAAATTTAAGGCATGCCTCAGACTGCTCAAAGTACAAGCCAGACCTGAGTTCAGGCTCAAGAGTCCACGAGCGAGGTTGCTGGTTTGTCAACGACTTTTGCCTGTCCAAGTCGTATCCTGATGGTCCAGTTTTACCGCATAAGAGTCATGTGAGTTGAGCAGATTCATTACTGGAAACTAACGAGCATACAGAGCATCTGTGGCGTATTCTGAGCTCAGATCATATGCTGCCGCCAATCTGACCTCTGGTCGGCCATTCTACCCTAATATATCGATCCCGTAGGCAACGCCTTCTACAGATGTTTCGTGCGTGTGCGACGAGCGTTATACAAAATCCGCGATCAATTTTTCCTCCGTTGGTGGCATCTCATAAAACAATGAGACAGGATATGCATATCAGAGCCTGCAAGGGAGCACTCCAGTCGAAGTGGAGCTCGTCACGAACCCTGGATTCAGTGTCAATGTATGCGATACCGGTTACTTACGATGTAGCCAGCTTGTGCTGATTCTTACTAGTAATTGGTCATCACTTCAACGACATACCGGTATGAACCACCATTTCACATTACACGTATATCACGAGGCATTTAACATAACCTCCAAAGTTATTCGCAGGTCTTGCAACGTCGATCATTCTGCTTTTCCTAGCTGTCTATTTGACATACAAGAGCAACTGGCGGAATAAGCACGAGCCTGGTACAGCAGATATCTTGGACTGCCCTGGCCTTTCGTTGTTACAAGCTTGCGTGTGACCTGTGAATAGGCAGCTCAGGAGCCGCGTGTCGCAGTTCAATCCTGCGGGTCGGCGATGGAGTCGTGCCACACAATTTTGAAGTAATCAATCCATGAGGTTCCTTCACTGAAACGAGCGCCCTCCTAGACAAAACCACCCGCGATGGACGCAACTAGAGGCGAAATTTATGGCACATCTTGCAATATATACATACATCGTCACTCAGGATAGCAAAGAACTGAGCTAGAGTACATCAACGTTCAGCTGTAACCCACACGCTGTGATACCTAAATCCATGAAATCCGACCAAGTCCAAATTTTCGCATTGAAAAATCATCATGCCCATCGGCCAGCCACCGTAGGCATAGAGCTCGAAAGTGCTCCATCTACGGCCCAATTCTGCCCGTTGACGTAGCTAGATTCGTCTTTACAAAAATGGTGAGTGGCATACCTTCGGACCAAATAATCAACGCACCGCTTGCGAGGAAAAGAGCCACGTTCGCAATTTCTGATCGCCATGGGGTGCAAGTCAGGCATATACCCAAGCAAGACACAGGACGACGTACCTTGAGAGATTCCATAGCGCCCGAGCGCGTTCAGCTGGCCGACCTTGTTCTCGGTGCCCCGTGCCCGGGCGTACTCGAACATGCCGGCCGTCATGCCAGTTTCGATCAAGCCCGGGCATATCGCGTTCACGCGCACGTCCGTGCGCATCAGTTGGTAAGCGGCCGTCTTAGCCATACTGTTCACGCTGTAATTGGGAATGGATTAATATCGTCTTCCGGCACCAACCGAGGAAGAGCCCGTGTAGGCAAAGCGAGCGAGAGACTGAAGAGTAGGGACGTACGCGGCCTTACTAGCGCTATCTGTATGGGCGACTTTAGTATCAATAAGTTGCAAAAGCGAAACGGAGAGGGGGACCTACAATCGAGCGCACCACCTCCTGAGTTCAACCCAGCAACTGTAGCGTTGCGTTGTAAGTACACGAACACCATCATGACAGATTTAGGGAACGCACCAGACGCAGTCAAGATGATACTACCACCACCGTACTGCTTGCCGCGTGACGGGTTCGCCTTCATCATCGCCTGTGAGGCGTGCTTGATAGCGAGGAAGCATCTGAGTCCCCGCGTGTTCATTGACCATTACATATCCTGTCCCAGCAGCCAGCTTAACTCACGAAAGTGCGTTGACTCGCATCACATGTGTGTACTGCTCTGCAGAGGTGTCGAAAAGGTGTCGATTCGTGCCCAAGCCAGCCTGAACATCAGGTAAAATTAGCAAGAATGAGCGGCAATTTTTCCGAATAACCGTACGTTGGCAAAGAAGACATCTAGTCGGCCCTCTTCCTGAATTGCCTGCTTGCAGACACCTGAGATGGTCTCATCGTCTGCAGCATCAGCTTCGATGATTGTAACCTGCCATGCATTCTCAGCGTGATTATTAGAGATCAGGGGTGGAAAGCAGGGCATACCTTGACGTCTGGGTACTTTTTCGTGATGGTTTCCTTGAGGTCGGGAAGGTTCGTCCCGTCAAAGTCCATGAGGTACAGGTGCTGCGCTCCTACAATAAAGCATTATAGGGTGAGAAGCGTATGTCTCTATTGCACGCCACATACCTTCGTGCGCAAATGTGAGTGAAGCTGCCCGGCTTACAATCACAGCGACCTTTAGGGCCTTCCTGGACTTAATCGCGCATAGCACTCACCCAATACCTGTTAACGAGCCAACGCCCGTCACCACGCACACCTTGCCCTTCAGCTTGCCGGACCTCGGCGCAGTCTCAAGATGCGTCTGGATGCTCTTCAGGCGTGAGACGGTCCTATCTCTGAATTCTTCATTGCTGACGCTTGCAGGGGCACCACCATACGGCGTCGAAGGCTTCGAAGACTTGGACATTGTGGAGGTTCGCTTCAAAGTGCGAGAAGGCGATGGTTGGGGAAGGACAGGGTCGATGGTGGTGAACCCGGTCCGAACGAGTCGCCGGTGTGATTGCTCGATCGGTCGATGGTCATGCGAGGAGGCCGGGCGTCTCCTGAGGGTCGTGACAGCCTGCCACGCGTCGCGTCGCGTCTGTGGCTGGCGCCGATCGTGTAGTACTGGCACGTGCAAGCGCAACCATGAAGCTTGAAGTTTGAAGGATCAAACATTGATCAAACATTCGCACTCTAGAGCGCCTCGCCGATATTAACACGCAGCCGTGCGCCAGGAGAAACTGAGCACCTGCTATCCCAATCTGTATGTCTTTCCTGAACTCAAATTATCGGCCCAGGACAAATTTGCATATGAATCACGCACTGCGCTGGCACCGCTCTCATGCCGCTGTGGCGTGTGTGGCCTGTAGACTGGGACGCCTGACCCGGCAATCTGGTCTGAGCTGGCTACGGTACGCACTTTTTCGTGGACGAAACGTGGCGCATTGATGGTCTACATTTGATTCACGGATAGACTAGCTGCGGAGAAATTCGTCGAAGGACACGGAACCGTGTAGTCAATACCGAACGACGGGCGTGCCACCTTTGCCAGTGAGCCCGATGTATAGGCATATTCTTGGAGTACTCGAGCTGTTACTTATGTCTCTCAACGACTGCTGACATGACGAATGAATGATCCGGTTTTGCATACTATTACTCTCACTAAGAATCCCGAGATTGTGCCTTCGTCAGGTTATCAAGCAAGTGAAACACTGCTCTCATGGTAGCTCCGTAAATCTGCGCATTTCAGACACACCATTGATACGACTTGCGTTGCCCAAATAGCATTATACCAACTGTATGGTATTTATGCACTTTGATCTTACCAAGGGATAATCAGACTCAGAGAACAAGTCTTGTAGACCTCTCAGCATCTACGTTCTTGCGTGGGTATTAGTGGGTACTACGATGCAGTACTAGTATACTTAAGTGATGAAGGTATGCTTCTGATTTGGTTGAACAATTTGAAAAACGCCTGACCGTAGGAACCGCTGACATACCGAGGGGCCGGCAGCTGATTCAGGTCGTTCAGGTTCAACCTGAACACGACAAGACTAAGGATATTCGCCAAACGAGTAACGCTGCCAATAATTTGGTGAGAAAGATGTCAGGAAGAGCGATCTGTTGATTCAGCAATTTGACGAGTTGAAAACGCTCAAGCTGATCAACAGTCTCGTCGTGGCAGTGTCTCGCTGGATGTCCGCCATCAAGGGGCACAGCTTGTATTTTTGACCCACCACCATCGTTCCCTGTGAGTCATGGTTCGAAACCAAACAACCCTGTACCAATCCGAACGCAGAGCTGATTATAGGCCCTCTGATTCAGTGAAGATTTTCATCATCCTCAAGCCCACGGGCCTGTGTTTGCGCAAAAAAAAAGGTCGTCTCGGGCCTTGCGGTAGGCGAGTCGCTGTGCGCATGGCCTGGTGGCTTCAGTGGAACTGAGGCACTGTGGAACTAGGATACGTAAAGGACACAATAAAGCATAGCAACATGGCGCAGGGGTAGCGCGCGGGGCTCATATGCATCTGATCGATCGGCGATCGATCGATCGATCAATTGAAACCCCGAGGTCACTGGATCGAAACCAGTTGTTGCTATCTATTTTTTGACATTTCAGGCCACTTCGATCACCTCCATACGGTATTAGTTGGCGTCCGCGCCTCTTGCTTTCCCTGCTGATGTACGGGTTCTTCTGCCTGTCATCCCTTCATTGTGGAGATGTACCTGAGCCATGTGATTGGTCGCAGGAACGACGCCGATGAAGGTGATAGCAGCAATATGCCGTAGGGTGACTTTATGACACAAGCCGAGGCGGCCCGCACACTGTACCATTACGATTTTCCCCGAGTCAAAGCGATCAACTGCCACAACAATAGGGGGGTCGTCACGGGCTATTGCTTCTCACCACTCAAAGACAGCAACACAAGACGACGTCAAGCACGGTCAGGATCTGTCGTCGGTCATGATGGAACGATACAAATATACAACGTTTTGTCTGATGGTCGCTGCTCACGTTAGTCGCTCAGCGCTCAGATCATAAGACAATCTTGTGGTGCCGCTGAGCTCTGGAAGCCACGGCAGAAAGATGACAAGAACACTCAATTACTACTCCCGTGACACTGGCAGGTCCGACATGGCAACTCGTGCGGATTGTCACTCTGTGGGCGCGAGATACCCGTGTGTCATGTGCATGCCAATACTGGGAATGAGGTATGGGCAGCTATTGAGAAGAGAGGTAGCGTTGGGACCTCCGCGGCACCGCAAACACAACGAAAATCTAGTCTTTTTGAGGATACGTGGACAAAAATGCTCATCATAGTGCGTCCGACAACCGTCCCCGGTTGAATACGGAAATATTCTCCACGCTGCGGAACGTGCTCCATGGTTGTTGTGGTGCCAGACACTCCTGATGCATGATGATCACCGCTGTCGCGTTGATTAGATCCACATATTCTGACGATACATACATGTTTAAACGCGCTCTTCATTGCTGTATTGTAAGTGCGCTCAGAAGCAGATCACTTCGATTACGGATGCTGACGAGATTTTTCACTGAACTGCACATAACTCGCGAGACGTGTCAAATTGTACGCGACTATGCCTCGAAATCTGCTTCGCGTGACACGGAGAAAAGGTCACCTCACTAGGCCGGGGTGCTTCGTTTCGAGGGCAGGCCGCTGATGAGGAGCCAATGTCCTCCGCTTGTTGCACCATCAAGATCAGAGACAAGATACGAAATATTCTTTCAAAAATACCTGAAAGACAGGCACATCGATGGAGTAAAGGATCATTTCAAGGGTGCTACGAGAAGATTTCGTCGACTGGTATGCGTGAGACAATGGATGTCGAATCATCAATGGCTCTGCACCGCCGACAACGCCTGGCGTGCTGCTCCTTCCATTGCGGCTGCCCGCGTTCTAGCAGAGAATCTTCCGCATAGGCAACCACCAACTATCGCAGGCCAGTAAGAGGTTAATTCGACGTATCGCAGGAATCTCACTCACTGTACACGCTCGCATGCCAAGTTAACATATGATCTGGTCCGGTCTTGTAGACGTCCCAGTTCATGGTGCGACGTTCTCCTCGTTCCTGGAGGTAATTGTTCAATGCCATGCGGTAATCTGCCGAGTGGTTCAGTGAAGTCCTCGACAAGAGCATGCCTCGCTCACGGTTGGCGGGAATGCTCCTCGTGTCGCTCATTTTGAGAGAGGGGGGTAGTTGCCATACGGTATGCGACCAATGCACATTTTATACTCTGAAGAGCAAGCAAGGGTGCATGTGTGCTCGTGCTCCCTGGATCCGCACTTCACTGGCTCTCGGCTCGGAAACATGGTACTCACCGGACGCGCAAAGTGATCTCATCGTCAGTGTTGTGACCTGTCTCCGAGAGATGGCCCATCCTCTGAACTGACGCGCATGAAGCTGCCACGCATCTTTACGTTGCAGAACAGCGGTCAATGTATTTGTCCAACAGCGATTCTCAGCTAGGTGAAATCGTCAATTTGGAGTTTACCTGGAGTTTTGAGTGCTGTTTCAGCCTATCAGTACTGCAGTCCAGTGGAAGCTTGCGACGATTATGATATTCATACTGCGTTAGAGTGTCTCAGTTCCACAAATGTGACACAGTGATCAAGGTTCTATCTTGAAGTGAATCACCGGTCGCTACAGATAGTAGAGGTCAATACCAGATGACTCGCAGAACATAGCGAGACACAGAGACCGGAAACACAGCAAAGCCGCGGCTTGACTGCAGGAGCTCCTGGATTCCGAAAGGGACCGGGAAAAGAGTGGCCGCACGATACCAGATTGGGTTGACGCGCATGCCTAGTAGATGACCGTGGACTGCTTAAGAGCGAAGAAGCGCACTATTTGCGGTACACAGTAATGCCTTTCAGACATAGCAGACCGGTCTCTACGCAGGCAGAGCCCATCGTACGAGTCATGCCGAATACAGTCGGCCAGCAGCTCTATTGGCGGGGCAGCATCAGGAGAGGACAAGGTGACACTGATTCCGGACTTGCCGTAGAGCTGTGCACGATGGCATTCCCGGATCCAGTTCTCCGTAGGTACCAGTGTGAGAACCAGTGTGAGAGGATCAACATCCGGTAGAAATACGGAGTAGATTCAAACAGTATATGTATGGTAATGGAAATTCATCAAAGAATCCGTTCCGGAACATTAGTGTGCTATAAATTGCATGGCGCGACAGGGCGTGCCTCAGATGAAGAGGGAAAATGAGCCGCCAGAAAGCGACTCTTTTGTTTGTGCGTGTTACGATCAAAGGCTATCGGCTTCTGTGCATCCCCGATGCAGCAGTTTCCGTCTTCAAGCAACTCAGGGCGCCTCCGTCCATTGGATCCTATGCCGGAACGGGGGTTAAGGTGCATTGCTATGTGTGTTGCTACAATCGCAAGAGCAGATCGACTGTTGGACAAAAAAGACGGAGTCTGCATATACGCACGCCGCCCCACGTCTTTCGCACACGGCAATAGTAGAGTAGCTGCGCCCAGCCCGGCTCTGAAGTCTACGTAGGTGATCTACAGGTCTCAGCTCTCGGCTGCGACTCACCTCCAATGTGTGAAGCACGATCCACACTGAGAAGCTCTCGTCTCAGGACTGCGATCATGAGGCACCGGAGGTTCTATCCTCAAGCAACGTAAGCGTAGCAATTGGCCCTGAGCGCAGCAGGCTGGTGTCATCATGCTCTCCCAACATATTTGACCGGTGCCTCTACTATTTGGTCCAACTGCAGCCGCTAACGCGCTCTATAGGACTGCGTTTTGGCGTTTATTTTAAATTCCCGTCAGCCTGAAGGCTAAACATGACAGAACGCTGTGCATCAACGCCGCCCACGGTCATGGTCCATGTGGACAACATGGTTAACTCAAATCCCCGGCGTCTTGCAAGTCCAATGACGTGTCCCGTTGGTATCGAGCGCAAGCGCCAGGCGACTCACGGCAGTCGAAGCTTCCCCCCAAATCGTGCCACGTCCCGCTGTCTTGAATGGCCTAGCACGTCCCTGTATTCTCACATACACATTATAGCCTTAGCCTAGTCCAATCACTCCATAAAAGACATATGCGGAATAAGTGCAGAATAACTTTCTCGTCGTGTCGAAATATCAGGCGTACGCTCTGCCATCCTCCCGATGGTATATCAGTGGGACATGAAACAGGCACGTCGCAAACTCGGCCTGAGATGCAGGTCTGACCAGGCCGATCGAAAAAGTTGGTAATAGCACGCTCGAAATAATCGATCGCTTTGACTTGTGTCTTGCTCATGTGGCGTGTGCGAATGTAAATAGTCACAAAAAGGATCTACCAGACATATGGGCTTTGCGCACTGCCACAGAGTACCCAAAAACCGAAAGCGGCCTTAGCTGGCAGTATGTGAATGTCTTCCCGGGGCCGCGAGGAGGATACGGCGCCTCAAGATGAAGCGTCGCGGGTCACCGATCGATGCAATGCCGATCAAATCTGATACACGACTGGTCACATTTTAAGTCAAGATAGATTTCAGCTACATAGAACATAATGTAGAGCAATGTCCGATTCAATAGTTAAGCAATACAGTAAAATCAACAGCGTCCATACAAAGCATCAGATGGTATCAGCGAGAGGAGCATAGGACGGCCAAGAGATACACAGGTGCAGGAAAGCGTCGGAATACGTGTGTCAAAGCAATCAGTATATATATACGTGGCTTATGATCGAGTGATGGAGCTGTGCAGTATCATAAGCAACCAGGCGGTGCAAGACAATCATAGGTGAATCATACCTGAGAATATCAATAACCGCGCTGTGCCCATAGAGCAGTTAGGGCTTGTCGAGCCGCTTCTTCTCTCACAGCCCCTTGATTTGGGCCGCTGCAGCTGCCGTACTGTATACCCCGGACTGTGGAGAGCGAGTCATTACTCGCAAAGAGGAATAACACAGGACACATGTACGCACAGTAAACGGTTGCATGCCATGTAGGTCGATGGTGGGGGCCACTCATGCGGACGTCCCAGCTTAGCAGATGTGCAGAACCGGCACCCTGGAGGTAGTTGTTGAGTTGCATACGCCAGTCTGTAACAGTTTTGTGTTACATTGGCGCGATGTGCAATGTACAACCGATGACTTACGGTCGGACTCGGTCATGTCTCTAGAGATGGCGTCGGAGGAAGTTCGTGTAGAGTGATAATGAACGTGGGGAGCCCTTTCACAAAGCACTTTTAAAGGATGCGGGAGCGCGTCTTTCGCGCACATATATCCATAGCTGATATTGTAATGAGTCACTGAGTGCACAGCTACCTTGGATGGACTCTCGAGGTGGGCGGTCCCGGGTGCTGGTACACCATAGACGAGAACGCAGCAATACATCAATTCGCCAAATCGGCTGTCGTGTTTCATTAGTACGCAGCACAGTGGGCGCGAATATTGTGCAGCGGAATTGGCTTGGAATGTCTGTGGGTAGGCTTAAACAACGTGTTGCATGCGTCGGTGGACCACTTTAGGCATACTAGGCTGGCGCTCTAGGGAGCGCAGTCGCTGCGCCGCCCCTCCTTCGTTATCTCCGGATCCTGCGCACCGATACATCGAGGACAGAATGTATGACG